CACAGAAATTTTGAATTAGCAATTAACCTAAAAACGTAGAACTGGAGAGTAATAACAATACAGGACATCTTGGAAGATTTTGTGCTGTGAATTTTAAACTGTGAATGGGGTCAGCCATCGAAAAGAAAGAAGGTATTGCATTATACCATGAAACACAATGAGGAAATTACATTTTTGTTTTAAAATAATTTATGCCATTGAGACAAAGATTTATAAGTCAAATCTCTTTCAGCACCTTTCCTTTGAAATTTATTAAGAGTAGTCTTATCAATTCAGAATTTTTTTTTTTTTTTGTTTCCTGCTACCCGCTCCTTCAATTCAGATTTCTTGACAGGCATAGTATTTATTTAAAAAATCTTTGCAACACATATTTTAACATTCTTAAATGTACTGAAACTTAGGCTTCCAAGTTAGGATGGCAGACTGAAAAAACATCTATTTCAGCCCCTCTTCTGGAATCCAACTAAAACTACAGTAGAGGAAATTTTAAAATAACCCCATGAGGAAGGGGGAAAGAGGAGAGCAATAAAATATTGGAAACTGGAAAGTGAATTCATGAAAGGTGACTGACTAGCAGACTCAAGACAGTGGGTCCCTAAACTGAAAGTGGGAGAAGCTGAGAAACAATTTGATGTGTACTACAGAATGCTCAGAGCATCATATAAAGTCATGCAATTATTCATGACTGGAGAAGGGGGGAAGTGGCAGCACCTAAATAAGGAGGATTAAGTGGAAATAACTTCTAGAGTCTCCATTCTACTCTTCACCCCTAGAACTACTCCTATCCTGTGCTACCACAGCAAAGAACCAGAGACTTATTTCTGGGAGACAACAGCATAGTCGGAGTTCTAGGTACCATGTGAAAATAAGGGATCTAAATGTGATTATATATATACTGATTACTAAGTGCTGAGACTGTGCGCTCTAGTCCTGTTCCAGCTCAGTTCCCAGTAACATTACAGCAGTCAGGGCCTTGCTCTTCAGAGAGAAGACTAGAAGATTTCTCTGAGGAACCTGACCAGCCCAAGATGACAGATATACAAATTTTCTCTTTGGGGGTTCTTAATAATTAGTCCACCCACATCATCATATACAGTAGTCACTCCTAATCCATGGATTATTCATTCCAAGACTCCTACTGGCTGCCTGAAACCAAAGATAGTACCAAACTCTACATATACTGTTTTTTCCTATGTACACCTACTTATGATAAAGTTTAATCTGTAAATTAGGCACAGCAAGAGATTAACAACAATAACTAATAATAAAATGGAATGATTTTAACAACATACTGTAATAAAAGTTATGTGAATGTGGTCCCTCTTTCTTTCTTAAAGTATTTTATTGTACTATACTGGCCCTTCTTCTTGTGATGTGAGAAGATAAAATGCCTACGTGATGAGGTGAAGTAAGGTCAGTGACACAGACATTGTGACTTAGCATTAGGCTACTACTGACCTTCTGACAAGATGTAGGACAGTCATCTGCTTCCAGACCACAATTGACTGCAGGTAACTGAAACCACAGAAAATGAAACTATGGATAAAAGAGGAACTACAGTCAATTTTCAATTTCATAAACCTTATGCATACATTCAGAATTCCCATCAACTTTTTGGCTCATCAATCATAAGGAGACAATTAAGGCTTACAAGACATCTGAGAAAACCCTAATTCAACATGGACAATACAAATACAAGTGCAGATATTGAATCTTTGAGCCAAAAACAATGTTATTAAAAAGAAATACAAATAAGACCTTGGAAATTAAAAATATAATAATTAGAATGAAGAAAGAGGGAAGCATGAGGAAAAAAATAGAAGTAAAAACAAACAAACAAAGATTAAAAATAGGAAAGAAAAGATAAAATCATAAGACCAGTCCAGGAGGTCCAACATCAAAATCATAAAAATTCTGGGAAAACAAAACAACAGAAATAGAGAGAAGGAACTTATCAATGAAATGATTCAAGAAAATTTCCCCCAAACCAAAAGAGAATATTTTCTGTATTGAAAAGGCTCATCAAAGGCCCAACACCACAGGTGAAAATAAAGGGAAGCTTAATATTTTCTCTCATCTCAAAGTTACAGAAGTACCTTATTTAGAAATATAAGACTGAAGCTTTCTTTTCTACAAATTTACTGTATGACTTTTCTATATTCAGGTAGTTTGTTTCCCATGCTTCTAAATGAGCACTCAGCTATATGCTGGGAAATATCCCAACATGCCTAACCCATTGCATAGAGTTGACACTTAAGCAAACTGAACAAAAGATGTCATCTCCAAGAACCCCATCTTCTAGATCTAATGGAGAGACATGAACAGAGCCACTGAAGCACAATTATTTTCTTCACAACCTCATCATTAGCCTAGACAACAAAAAGGGGCATAAATAGCAACATCAAGATTCTTGCTTGTCAAGAATTCCCAGGGTACTTTCTTTGTCTTCTAGGGTCTCTGACATCAGGATCATAATAATCCATCTCTAGAGATTACCTGGGTATGATCCTCAAGTCTAGTTTATGGTCTCTTTTGAAATACTGATTCCGTCCTTTCAGGACACATTGCTAATATGGAGAGGCTCACAGTACTACATCCTGAGATGGAGTTTAAGATCCTTCCAGATTATATATTTTAGCTCCAACTCCAGCATGCAGATGAACTGGCACCCACAGAAAGAAGTAAAAACAGGGTGGCCTACATGAATCAGCCTGTATGGTAAGAGATTACCACACAAATAGGGAATCAAATTTGATAAGTAGGAAGACCCAGCTTAGTAGGTTGAAGAGTAGCTCCCCTAAAAAATGCTCACTTGGAACATCAGAATAGGATCTTATTTGGAATAAGGGTCTTTGTGATGTAATTAAGGATCTCAAGATGAAATTGTCCTGGATTTAGGATGAGTGCCCTTACAAGAGAAAAAAGAAGGAGATTTGACATACAGAGAGACATAGGGGAGAAGACAGAGGCAGATACCGGAGTGATGCGACTAAAAGCCAAGGAAAGTGAAGGATTCCAGATACCACTAGGAGCTAGGAGAAAGGCATGGACCAGATCCTCCCCAAGGACCTCCAAGAAGAGCCAATCTTGCCAACACCTGGATTTTGGACTTCTAGCCTTCAAAACTGTGAGAGAATAAATTTCTGTTTTTTTTAAGCCACCAAATTTGTGATAATTTGTTATGGTAACCAACCCTAGGAAATTAATTCACCCTCTCAGAGCTATTCTAAACCTGCTCTGGCTAGAAAGGAAGTGAAAATTCCTCAGATGTCATCTGCTTTGCCGATTTCATGATGCAAACAAGAGTTAATATCTCAAAGGCCCTATTTACACAATAGAGATGAGATCACTTTCAAACTTCAAAGTACAGTCATTCACAACTTATTAATTTCCACAGTACACTTGGGTCAAATGGGTAAGTGTCATTAACTGCACTTCAGAGTATAGCAAATAAGCCCCTTGCTTAATGTCATCAAAGGAATTCTTGACAGATTGGCTTCAAAACAGATTCCACTTAAAGTAAATATGACAGGAAAGTAAAGCACTCATGGTCAAGAGTTGTACAAAAGGAATTGGAAAGCAGAAGATTTGTTATACAATGATTCTAGAAGGTCTCATTTCCTATATATAAACATATATATATGTATAATGTATATATTACATATATAAAAACATACATATGTATACTATATATATAACATATATATATAGCATGCATACATAAAAACCATATAAAATTCATGCTGCAATCTTCCTTGAAAGACAAATGTTAAAACCCTGGCTTTTGCTACCATCAGCCTAGTTCTTGTCACCTTGTTGTGAAACAAAAGTTTCCCTGAGAAATTTTATTGACCTGACAGACTTGCACAGAGGGTATCTAGTCCACACAGTCTTAGAATAGGCATGTCTCAAGCCATAATTTATAGGAAAGACTTTGGTGCCAAAACAGTGAACAAAACTATAATGTCTAGAACAAGGGACAGATGTACTCTACCCTGCCACAATCAGACCATATCTAGAAAGTCTATATTGTTTACAACATAAAAAATTAAGGATTTCTTAACATAAAAAAATCCTAGCAAGGAGGAGTGAAGGAATCAAGGCTTTCAAAAGCAGCAACTCTTGAATACTGGGCGGGGTGTTAAATCTGGAGAGGGTAAGACTCAGATCCATGAGACAGCTATCACCAAATACCTGAAAGGGTGTAATGCAAAAGAGGATTTCACTTGATAGGTAGGGAAATCACATTTCAGCTTCTCATTAAGAAATGTTTTGGAAGGGTGGTGCAGTTGATTAAGCTTCCGACTCTTGGTTTTGGCTCAGGTCGTGGTTTCAGGGTTGTGAGATCGAGCCCCATATCGGGCTCCACATGCTCAGTGTGGAGTCTGAGTTTCTCTCTCCTTTGCCCTCTGCCCCTCTCACTCATGCTCACTCTCACTCTCTCTCTCTCTCTCAAAAAAAAAAAGAATAGGGTACATGAATTAGCTGAGAAAAATCAGCCATGACTGGGACACTGTCCACTCTGCCATCTGTTACACACACTTTATACGTACAACTACATAGCTGTAAATAAGTCACATTTTAATCAAATGAAGACATAGTAAACTTGTTCTTCTAAGGCTTCTCAGAATTTAGAGGAAGGAGTACAAAGGAAAATAACCTAAAACACATGCTTCAAAATAGCTTTTATGTTGAAAAAATACTACTAGTAGGGAAAAGCTAATAAGACAAATAGTGTTATTCTTTTATCTTCAAATCAGCACCAACAGAAGGACTCAAGAATGATGAAGAGAAAAAAAATGGAAGAGGGAAAAATATCATCAATGTATCAAGCAATGCAAACCAAAACAGAGCTTTAGTTATAAAATGATTTCCGTGTGGTTTTTAAAGCTAGGTACTATCATGGGCACCTCTCTATACACTATTCACTGGAGAAAGTTACCATGGGCATTTCATCAGTACTGTTCCATGATCTTTTTTAAAAATCTTTGTTTAAAAGGCTATTTTTTTTTAACAGTTTCTACTTCTGACATCTGTTCTTCAGATACATCAGGGATGCAAATATTAAACTGCAATTGTAAATAGCGTCTCATCTTTTCAAACCAAACCAGCCTCAATCTAAAACATATTAAAGGTATGTAAAACAGAAGTCCACTGAGAACAAAGAGACACACGTAGATATAATGCTTATGTGGGGACTCACAAATGGGATCAAAACCAAACATAGGCTGATGGCCATTGTTACCAATGGTAATGGAAAAGACACCTGAAAAAAGAGGCGAAATTCAAACAATAAGATACGAAAACCCATATAATGTATCTGAATACTTATACAAACAAAAAATGAGATATAAACTAATGATAGAGAATAGGCTAAATTATCTGAGTTTAGATAAATTTGGCTTAATAGTTAGAATGTTTAAGACTTTCATTGTCAGGGTATTATAGTTGAAGGGAATGAACATCTAGTGTTTGTTCACCAGTGGAAATAATCATGATCATTTGGTAATAAGATAACCATCTTCTGATCTAGGTGGAATGAATTCCTTAAGAGGGAGTTCCTAGGGCTCAAAGAAAGTTACAATTTTCCTGGGACAATATCTCAAGGCAGTAGGAAATTCATGTCAAAAACAGAGTATCCTCAGACCCCCTGTTATTCAGGCAGATATCGACAGGTAAATATTATAACTTTATAGGCTCAGTCTATTTAAAAAAAAATCAAAACAAAAAACTTTGGCCAAGACAATTCTCCCTTTTCGGTGGTTTTTTTGTTTTTGTTTTTGTTTTAGCCAAAAAACTTGAAGCCCTATTCTTGGTACCTGCTCTGCATTAGGATTGTTAAGTATCCTGCACCAAACATTACCCAACCTAGGGAGAAAGTTCAATAGGCAGTCACTTTTGATACATCTTTAGATATAAATCTATACCCCCAAAATATAGCTATATTCATAATTATGAAACCCTTTAATTAGAAAGTCACTCCTTTTGGGAATTTATTAAGAATTTCCTCTTGGGGCACCTGGCTGGCTCAGTCAGTAGAGCATGAGACCCTTGATTTCAGGATGGTGAGTTCAAGCCCCATGCTGGGTGCAGAGCTTATATTAAAAAAAAAAAAGAGAGAGAGGGAGAGAATCTCCTCTTAATTTGTAAAAGACCCCTGAAAAAGATAACTTGTCATCTCACAGCTCAATATCAATTATCAAATAACTGAGAGAAGAGAAAAGAGCATTCATGTGGCATTCAAGATAAACATTAACTACTTATACTTAAGGTTGCCCTTGCCTTTCTGTTTGATGCAAATGTGTATCAAATAATAATATAAATCATAATAACTATCAATGTCAGACTCTGGATTGTTTGCATGTTTTAGCTCATTTAATACATCCCACATTCCTAGGAGGTAGGCATTATTTATTCCCATTTTAGATCTGAAGAAACTGAGAATCAGAAGTTAAACAAGATGATTCCTCCTTCCCCATGTATTTTCTGAACACCTTCTGGAGGACACCATGTGGCAATAATCACACTATGATTTTTGGTTCACCTGACTGTCCAGATAGATTATACCCTGCCTAAAGGCAGGAGCCACGTCTTACTCCTTTCTGCACCCAGAATACCTACTAAGGTACTTAAAATGTAGTTGCCTCTCAATAACTGATACTCAAATATGCAACAGTAGGGGATGGCTGGATGGAAGAAGTAGAGGGAGGACTGAAAAGGAAGGATGGTTTTAAGTCAACCAAGGTTGATGGTTAGAACATTGCTTTCTTTTTCCCTATGTTCTTCCTTTTTTTTTTTTTTTAAGATTTTATTTACTTATTTTAGAGCGAGAGAGAGAAAACAGGGGAAGAGGCAGAGGGGGAGGCAGAGGGAGAGAATCCAAGCAGACTCCCCTGTGAGTGCAGAGCTGTCAGGGCTCCATCTCACAACGCTGAGATCATGACCTGAGTCGTAACTAAGAGTCAGACACTTAACTGACTGAACCACCCAGGTGCCCCTTCCCTGTGTTCTTTTTTAAATTTCTTATATTTTATATTTCTTGTATTTGTTTGTTTGGGCCAAAAGGCAAACACTCCAAAGAGACTGCCTAGATTTCAATCTTGGCTCTACTCCATGCTGTGTGAACTTGGGCGAGTAACAACTTTTCTAAACCAGTTTCCTCATCTATAAAATGGGGATAAGAGTAGTATACGCCTTTTGTCTTACTGAGAGGATTAAATGTGATAATGCCAGCAAAGCTTTTAACATGATGCCTAGTCCACCAGGACTATTCTGATAATCAGAGCATCAAGGCCACCTTTCTCCAATAGCATCCTTACACCGCCAAGGTTTTGCTTATTTCCTTTTCTATGATTAAAGGGCTCTCCTGTAAAGAAAACAAAAAACAAACAAAACAAAACAAAACAAAAGCAAATCTTCCTCATTCAGACACAAAGTAAGTTTAAAGTAAAGTAGAAAGGATGCAAATTGTTGATGATCAAATTGAGCTGATGTTTCAGGACAGGAAATGCTATCACTTGTGACCCCACAGAAGCACTTGCCTCTTCTATTTCCCACCTGTAGGAATTCCCCGGACTGCAAGATCATGACCTGAGCCAAGGCAGATGCTCAACTAACTGAGCCACCCAGGCCCCCGCTCTGATTATTGTCTTAATTTAAATTCCTAGTACAATAAAAGACGGATATTTGAATTCAAGAAAATTATTTCAGAATCTAAACACTGTCTAAGGATTATATGCTGAGAAGAGTAAGTATTAAAAACCAAATTACAAGCATTATGGTCAAAACACTTCATGGATCTTCCACATGTGTGGAACAATTACACCACCCATAAAACTGCTGCAACTTTTAGGACACACCAGACAAGATAATCATAGTTTTTAACAACCAGTAAGACCAGAGCACTGGCAGTCATAACAGATGCCAGATTCAATGAACCATAATGTCTGGGTCAGCTGATCAGCAGTCTTGGCCACACCCATAATTAATTTTGTGAATTTATTCTTTACATAATCAAAGTAGTTAATAAGTCCCTACTTGTTCTTAAGCAATTTAGTGTTTGGTTTGTTCCCACAAATGCTCGGAATCTTGATCATATCTAGTTTACAGTTCCCTAAGCAAGCTAGACCATTGTGAATCAATTAGGATACCACGCATATGGCAGCTTCCTGCATGGCAGTAACACAGGAATGGAGGCGAAGTGTGTTAGGACTTTTATATTAAACCTCTCTTAGATTTACCTTCAGTACCTCAAAGATCTACCAAAACAGTTAATAGCTACTCAAAAGAGATTAGTCCTAATGGTACTGGATGCTAGTTTATCTCAGAAGTTTATTTCTTATTTCCAATATGTTCAGGGCCCCTTTGTCACCATAAATTTTAGAGTCATTTATAATAAACATTATATTACATATTAATACTGTTAATTATATCCATCAATTGGCCATTAACATCTACTCTTTTAACTGCCAATATCCCACATTTCAAGTTTATCATTCTTTATGTCACGTAGAAGGACATTTAGAAAATCAACATGGTAGGGGCGCCTGGGTGGCTCAGTCATGACGTGTCTGCCTTCGGCTCAGGTCATGATTCCAGGGTCCTGGGATCGAGCCCCTCATTGGGCTCCCTGCTCCGCGGGGAGCCTGCTTCTCCCTCTCCCACTTCCGCTGCTTGTGTTCCCTCTCTCTCTCTGTCTCTCTCTGTCAAATAAATAAATAAAATCTTAAAAAAAGAAAATCAACATGGTAAAAGTTTTAGTAGACCTAAGCACTGATTACATAGTGTCACTCTGGTGAGGGAAGATCATGAAAGCAATACAAATATTTTGAACCTAGTGAACCTAGTCTGCATCATATGTCAGCATTATGTATATTTTTCCGTATCATCAGAAATATGGTTTTCCATATTATGATGCTTAACTATAAAACTCTTGCCTAAGCCAAATCATACTCTTTGGCCCCTTTATTATTTTTGAAAATTACAAGTTGATTCTCTATATAAAATAATGAAAAACAAACACTTTATGACTGGTAAAGTGATACTGATGACCAGAACGGTCATTATTATTTATTGCCTTAGTCATTTGCATACAAACCTGAAGAGAGAATTTCCTTGGGTGTCAGAACAGGCAGGTAGGAAATAGTAACCAGTAGATAAATGATAGTCACCAGAGGTAAAGCAGTAAAAATGCATCTTGGAATTGTCTTTCTGGGTTTCTTCAGCTCCCCTATAATACATAAAAGAGCAAAATCACAATAGGTAAAAAGCATGTCTTTAAATTTATCTTTAAAACCACGTCATGCATTAACTATTAGGCTGAATTCTTCCAATGTGCCCAGGCCACCACCACACTTACTAACACACATACACACAAACACATTGGTGAACTACTTCACGACTATTGCCTTTCTGAGCTCGGTGATAATGCAGAAAAGGGGGGGAATTTTCTTCATTTTCCTTAGAGATGGTAACATTTCTGCAGAAAGTCATAAGAGTGAAAATCAAAGCTGAGCCCATAGGACCCTGTATGGTTTGGAGCCTACCTGTGTCTTCAGCCTCATCTATTCAGAACAAGGCATTTATTTAGTCTGGGTAGTGGAATATGATAGTGAGCGAAAACAAACAGGAAGCCTAACCTCAAGAAGAGCTATGCATGAATTAAATAATCACATAAATAAAAGTGATAATAGTGACTGTGGTAAATATCCACATGAAAAGAGATAAAGTGCTTTGAGGATATATTATATGATAATTTGATGGTCCCGTTTGCTACCTGCGTCATAGGCTCATGGGCTTTTCTTCAGTTTCTCAAAAGTGTCATGGCCTCTATACCCATTCTCTCATGTGGAATGTTCTTTCCTTTCCTCGTTGCTGCACTGACACTCTCCCTTCAGATCTCGGCAAAATCATAACTTCTCCTGGGAACATAGGAGAGGAAGGTCTTCCTGACTAGCAAAACTGTCCTATTATATGATTTCATGGCATATATGAAAAGAGTAAAAGAATAAATCATAAATTCTCTTTTCCTGTAGGCTCTTTGCCTTCCCTTAATGTCACCATTAAGTGCAAAAAAGAAAAGAGGTCATGATTTAGCATCATAGGTAATAGGTTTTCTAGAACAGTCTTGTTCTCAAATATTGTTCCATTTGTCACACCATTTTCCCCAATTTTGCCATTCTCTGAAAATTATCCCTGACATAAAGAATCGACATTACAGTTATGTGTATATAATGTGACCCTGTGCCCTGGCTACTGGTAATAGAACTGAGTACAGACCTCTGACTCACTGAAGGCCAATCACTGCCAGGATACAAGAAGATTCCTCTTAACAATTTGAACCAAATGTCAACAAAACCGAGAGAAAGAAGAAAAAAACAATGTAACAGTAGCAAAAAAGAAAGATGGCTGATGAGTCTAGTTTTTAAGTCCTAGAGCTTCCCTAACTCCTGTTGCTCCTGAAGATTGGTTGCTCATGTTTTCCTTGAAACACAGCATTATTCTTCTAGCAAGTTCTTCTTTTACTGCTTAAGCCAATGTGTGTGGGTTTCTGTTACTTAAAACCTGATCCCTCTGACTAATCAATATCTGTCCTTTGACATATGTCAAATCTGTTTTATCTGCATCTGCCCACGGGTGGAATGTAATGTCCACGGTATACACTAATATGAGCTGATTAAGCACTTAAAGAGTAAAGAATTCCAATGTTCTCAGCTAAATGATGCCTGAACCATTTACTAGTTGTGGGATTCTGGACAATTTATTGACTGGTAAGGTTTCAATTTCCTTACCTGTATACTGGGGAGAATGGAAAATATAGGGACAATAAAATTCCAATCAAATGCCTAGCACTTAATAAGTTATTAATGACTATGGTTATTAGTCAAAGGTTTTGAGCAAGCAAAAAGGCAACTTTTAGGATTAACTACACTTTCCTCTGGGCCTTTTACTCTTTCTTATTATGTATTAGATTTATAGAGAGTAAGGAATATAACATAACATAACATAACATAACATAACATAACATAACATAAAACATAATTCAAGGTTATAATAGCCAGACAGTGAATATCCTTGGTCTTGAACTTGGAAGATAGATGTTCCTACAATATGCTAAGTCAGCTGCCTACATATCATCATTTTATGGGTAAAAGTGTTACTTAGAACTTAGCTGTACTTAAAGTTTATTAAGTAAATTAACAATGCTAGTATACTCTGAAATTCCTCCTGAAAAATTTTGTTTACTGCCAGGTGCTTGTGAAGAGTTTGTAGGTTAGTAAATTCTGTGAATCTATCTTCAGCTGAGAAAAATTATCTAGCAGTGAAACATCTCTGGCAATGGAACAAGATGAATAAAACAGAAGGCAGAGATATCTCTTCTATCCTGATAAAAGAGAGTGATGAAGTGAGAGAGAGAGAGAGAAAGTCAAACGAATTATGCTAGCCTCTCAAATTGCAGTGGTACATTTAATCACAAACTTTCTTTTCTCAATACTTCCCTGTTTAACTCAATGCGGACTGACTTTCCTCTCATGTCCAAAGTTCACCAATGACTTCTTACTTAGTGAAATGGCTTCTGCTCAATTCTCATACTCCTCAACTTCTGAAGCCCTTTACCATGTTGATTACACCCTCTTTTGTGGAACATAGAGTGATTTCTTTTTATAATTCTCTCAACCTCCTCTGGCTTCTTCATTGCATCTTCTTTCTCCACCTACCCCCTAAAAGTTGGCCTTCTCCAGTCTCCAACCCTATGCCGTTTTATTCTACTTCTCTCTATATACTTGCCTTAGTAATGCTATCTACTAACCAGCTCATCAGATGGAAACCATTTTGCAATCACCCAAGGTTACATGCTATGTCTTATATGCACCTGCATATTTCTGGTCTCCACGGCTTCACTCATATTATTTTATGGCTGGAATTTTTTTTAAGATTGTATTTATTTATTCAACAGAGAGAGATAGAGCACAAGCAGGGGAAGCAGCAGGCAGAGGGAGAAGCAGGCTTCCCGCTGGGCAGGGAGCCCGATGCCGAGGCTGGATCCCAGGACCCTGGAATCCTGACCTGAGCTGAAGGCAGACACTTAACCAACTGAGCCACCCAGGCATCCCGCTGCTGGAATTTTTTGAGTTCAATGAAAGTTGCCACCTTTTTGATAACACAACAAAAGATGATCTTACCATCCACTGGATTCTCACAGTGATCACATTGTTCTCTTATTACCACTTATTAAATACTATCATTCCATGGTTTTATAAGCACAGAATTATACTGATTTTAAACCATAATGATCATTTTTCAGATGAAGGAGAAAAAAAAAAAAAGAGTAAGTCCAGAGAAGTGAAGATACTTGCCACAACTCATAAGTGGCAGAGGTCAGACCAAAATTTAGATATTGCTTTTTCCATTAAACTGTTAGCCTCTTTAGGGTAAAGAATATATCTTATTCATCTTAAGGAACTACTACAGTGTTTCAAAAATAGTGTTTAAAAAGATATTTGCTGACCAAATTATTTAATGCACAAGGGACACATCAGTGACTCAGGGGGTCCTTTGATTAAAAGAAATACGTGTTTTAAAAGTAAAGCCTACTTCATGTTGAAATGTCAAGGAAAAGAACTGGTAAAAAGGTTGAAGTTGGAAAAAATTAAATAAATGAATAGGGAAGACCCCTGAGGAGGTGAAAGAAAAAGAAGAGGTTCAAAGGAAGAGACCGATTTCAAAAATGAAGAAATCTTTTGTCTTGACATTGAAGGGAAGAGTGTTAAATCCAGCCTCTGAGCAATTATACTTATGATTCTCTTCTCTTGAAAAGTACTGCAGAGCATAAGTGTGTCACACCCACTCACGACACAAACACAGTCTGGCATTGGATCACCCCTGAGGAACATGTCCACAACCCCAGAATTCATCCATTAACAGAAAGGAAACTCGATTAACATGGAGATCCCATATCCGTGAGCCCAGAAAAGAGAGCTGAAAAAGAGAAGTCGTTCAATAAAATAAGCACTTTTGAATGAATGGGGGAAACATTAAGACTGAGTGATAAGTGCAAGACTGCCATATTCTGACTCAATTTAGAAAGTAAGAAAGAAGAACAAACACTGAATCATCACGTATTTAAAATAAAATTCAAAATATAAAAAAGAAGATGTACATTTCACATTGCATGCAATAAGTCATGACTTGAGATTTTCTTTCTCAATGAATTGGTAATTACCTGCTATAAATGTAAAACATCCCCCGCCTGAGAATGCAAAATATCCTTGGAAAACAGCGTCTATAAATCAGAGGCTTCTGGAAACTCAGTATCAAGAGTTCTGAAAGCTCTTCCTTCCTCTCAACAGCAGTACCTCTCCACCCAGAGAAATAAGGGCTGGTGGGGCCATTTTCAGCACTAGGCTGGCTGGCTGAAGCCAAGTCACCTCTTTCACACTGCGAGAATTCGGAATTCCCACAGTCCGCAACATGGCTAGCGCCAGACGTTTCTTTGGCAGCTTTGGAGCAGAGCATCTGGGATAAAAAGGCTCAGTGCTATACTCAGCAAGGAGTAGGGCTTGGCTGGCAGCTAACCCTGGCCCCAGAAACAAAGCTGTCCAGAGATCCAGGAAAGAGATCAAGTTACCGAAACATCTTTTGAGAAAATAGTAGTGAGCTCTGCTGTGTGGGAAGGTTATACCGATCTCTGCTGAGCAGAGAGTGGTCATCATGGACAACAGGGCACAAGCAGCCCAAACACACAGGGAGAGCCCCACATTCATGCAAAAGTACTTCAATACCCCTTTGGGGGCCACAGAAAGTCCTAGACCAATTATACTAATGATTAAAAAACTTGTGCCCCAGCAATATCCAAACATTCTCTCGAGTTGCATCTTCTTCCCTTTATCCATTGTAATTAAAATATTTTTTTAAATGTGTATAAATCATAATTTCTGAATTTTTTTGCCCATCTTGCTGAAAAGGATGTTCATGGATTCTCTGAAATAAAATAGTGCCGTCCTTTTTGCTCCACCTTGTTAAACATAGCCTATTTTCAATCATTGACAAAATATAGGTGATACATCTAAGCAAAAAAGTGTAAAGTTACTTGGAAGGGTGCAGTTTAATTTGTTTCTTAATTATTATCAAAATAATACATTCAGCTGGAAAAAAAGGAATCTTAAAAAACAGGGTATTACAACAAAACACAGGAGTTTCTTACTCTATTTCACTCCTTCCCAAACACATTCTGGTTCTTTTCTCTGGAAACAAACCATTTATGTATGGTTTTAGTTCTTTTTGGTAGTTGCCTCCATAACTCTAAATAATATGAAAAGACTTTTATTCACAAATATCTCAATTTTGGAAAGCACCTATTATTGACTTCCTCCCATAAACACTGAGGAATCAACTCACTTACTTTCCTCTTACTTAACCTACTTCTTCTTCCTCCCATTTTTTTTCATCAAGCTCTCAAGAAACAAAGTATTTACCTTCCATCAGGCTCATGGAAGCCAATTAATAAGGTGGGAGAGTGAAATACCCTGCAACATAAGACTGTCCCTTAACCAGCCATCATTCTGGTAGCATGGGTCACATGCAGAAAGATGTGAACCTGAAGTACAGGAGAAAGCCTGACCCCACAGACAGAGGTAAGGAAGTTTCTGAACATCTGAGCAAGGCCTGGGCCTTAGTAGCTCTTATATACATTGACTTTACAATACAAAGCATTGCTCTGAGTATCGACAAAGCCTTATAAGCTTGGGGCACACCACCAGCCTCAGAAGTGAGTGATTTCCAAATTATCCTTTAAGAGTGAATGAAAACAAAATTGTTTATGTTTTTGTTCTGGTTGTGGCTATTTTCTGGCAGATTGCATCCAAGAAAATCCACTGAAAATATTGTATAGATCTCAGTAAACATGACCGGGTCCTCCCCCAAATGAAACCATGCCTCTCATCCCATCCCAGAGAGCAAAGACCTGGGAGTGAGGGAAGGAGACCAGAAAGCTCACCTTTAGATAGAAACAAAGTATGAGAAGTAAACCAGACACAGACAGACAAGTACTACATGATTTCACTTATATGAGGACTCTAAAATAGTCAAATTTATAAAATCAAGGACTGGAATAGTGGTTACCAGGGGCTGAGAGGAAAATGAGGAGTTATTAATCCACAGTCAAGTTCAGGGTCAGGTGTGTGTTTAGCTCTATGATGAAGGGCCCCAACTTCTGCAATATAGCCACACCATCAAGGATAGTGGTAATGAGAACTGACACAGATTTCAGTTCATTCTTGTGGGATCCAAAATAATCCTTATAGGTTCCAGCCTATTCTTGTTCCTCCCTCTTTTACACCTGTCACTCCTGGATTACTTGAACTTCAACTTCCCAGCAGCAGACTTGAAGACAATAGCCTTAATAGAGACTAATTAATCAGTTTCTATAACTGCATGATGTCAAATCTCTATAACAAAAAGTCCTTGTAATTATAGAGGTATGTAATTAGACAAAGATTTAGATATAGACACAGCTAAAGATATAAAGATAAATGGATATATAAGTAGATGTAGATATAGATGCAGATATAGATCTAGGTAGATAGACAAAGATACACATACAGATTTCCTAGTTGTTTCGCTGCTCCGATTGATACAAAAAGCAAGACTATGCCATCTCATACATCCCTGGAATCCTGCAGTATTCAGGTATGTCTGTGATTCTGAAAATGAAGAATGTGAAAAAAGAGACTTGATCTGGGGCATCAGTCCCCATTTTGGTTTTCTCAAGACTATCAGAGATTCTCCAAACTCAGGGGAAGCACTCTTTAAACAGTATCCCTGGTCTGAGGGGCATTTACCTGAAAATACTATGTGGTACTACTACATCAAAAGGGAAAATGTGCAAATCATCCAGTATTAGGTTCACCGACATAGCTCCTGCAGAACCCAAAGGAATATCATCCACACAGCATATATATAGGTGAGCTCAGGCATTGGACAGAAACTCTAGAAGGCTAACTGAGAAAATGCCATGCCTGTGTCTTCTTACACATAACTTAAGAAACAGGAGACGGGGATCCGCAGAGGAGACATTTTGAAGGACATCAGATTTTACAGTGACATGACACCTTAAAGGGTTTGCACTGTTATTCCTTTTTATCTTTATTTTTCTTTTTCTATAAGTGATCTCCTAAGAGAAGATCTGTCATGATGGCAGATCAAAAGGTGTCAATCTTATTGAGTGTATGTATATCATTAACTCAATTATACAGATATGCAAAAAAAAGCCTTATAGAAGTTCAGGAATGTGTCCAATTCATGTGCCTCTGGTTCTATCTTATTCCAGAGTCCATGATCCTCATGTCTAAACTCTACTTTTTGTAGCCCTGACTTAAAAAATAACTTTGATAGCCACAATGGCAGATTGAGGATCCCCACTTGACTGCTCCTCAATAAAAGCAGCAAAATGCTGGAAAGTTTGTCAAAATCAACCTTTACTTTAGAAGCTAATATAAGACTTGTAACAATCTGAGGAGAATTTATTCAAGAAAAATGTCTAGGGGCACCTGGGTGGCTCAGTTGGTTAAGCGTCCAACTCTTGGTTTCAGCTCAGGACATGATCGGGGTTGAGATGCTCTCCCTCTCCCTCTGCCCCTCTCCCCACTCATGCTCACTCTCTCCCTCTCTCTCTCAAATAAATAACTAAAATCTTTTTAAAAAATAAAAATAAATAAAAGTTAAAATTAAAAAAAAAAGAAAAATATCTGAACTTTTGTGAGTTTTTTAACTTGGCCTACTCGCATCCTCCTTTCCCCAGCTCCAGAGTAACCTTGAAAACCAGCAGCCCTGATATCATGGTAGCTGTGAAAACCAGCAGTACTGCAGCCCCTGAAAAAGGACAAATCAAGAGCACCTCGAAGAGCACCATCTCCAATGCATTCTTCTCATCTGACATATCTCTTATCTTTGTTTTTTTAAATTTTTTATTGTTATGTTAATCACCATACATCACATCATTAGTTTTTGATGTAGTGTTCCATGATTCATTGTTTGCATATAACACCCAGTGCTCCACGCAGAACGTGCCCTCTTTAATACCCATCACCAGGCTAACCCATCCTCCCACCCCCCTCCCCTCGAGAACCCTCAGTTTGTTTTTCAGAGTCCATTGTCTCTCATGAGGAATTCTTTTTTTTTTTAAGATTTTTATTTATTTATTTTGAGAGAGAGAGAATGAGAGAGAGAGAGAGCACATGAGATGGGGGAGGGTCAGAGGGAGAAGCAGACTCCCTGCTGAGCAGGGAGCCTGATGCGGGACTCGATCCAGGGACTCCAGGATCATGACCTGGGCCGAAGGTAGCCGCCCAACCAACTGAGCCACACAGGCGCCCGCTCTCATGAGGAATTCTTAATCTCAGGAAACAAACTGAGGGTTGCTGGAGTGATATCTCTTATCTTTGAAAAAGTCCCATTTGCAGGGCTTTGACATTCCTCAGAGCTTGCTCAGGGAAAATCCCTATCTGAAGGGCCTTTGTCTGAAACAATCAAATGCAGTTGATTAACACAACAACTGCCGAAGGCAGCAATGTCAGTTTCGTGAAAAAAAAAAAAAAAATCCCAGCCTAAAATGTAAAAGGCAGATCTGGAGGAAGAAATGTCTAGAAGTGCCTTTGAAAAGTGCTTCCATATACATGAATATCTAGAAGGCCACGTACATGTTCAGGCCTATCCAAAGCCTAGGAAAGCCCTGAGAGGGCCCCAATTCCTTACCTCTGGTTGAACTTGAGGCAGTGCAAAAAGGAAATGAAGCCTAGGGCCGACTGGTGAATTGCCTTAGCCTCAACACACACACACAGAGCTCCTTGGCAAACAGTGGAAGAACTACTGTTTCCAAGCATTTATAGAAACCTCAGATCATTGTTAGCAGACTACTGAGCCTGAACTGTAGAGAATTCAGTGGTTGCACACTACAAGGAATATAGACTGTATCAGGTTCCCAAGGCTATAGTAATAAAGCACCAAAATCTGAATGTCTTAATATACATTCACTGTCTCATTCTTCTAGAGGCTAAAAATCCAAAATCAAGATCTAGGCAGGGCCGTATTCTTTTTGACAGCTTTAGTTAAGAATCCTTCCTGCTCGTCTCTAGCTTCTGGCAATTTCTCGCAATCCTTAGCCTTTCTTGATTTATAGATGCAACACTCCAGTCACATGTTCTTTTTGCCTGTGTATCTTCATAGTGCCTCTCCTCTGTGCCTGTCTCTGTGTCTAAATTTCCCTTTTTAAAAGGATACCAGTCATATTGGATTAGAGTCCACCCTAAAGACCTCATTTTAAATCGATTACCTTTGTAAGGACTTTATTTTCAAATAAGGTCACATTCTGAGGTATTAGGTGTTAGAACTTAAACATACCTTTTTTGAAGTGCACAATTCAACCCATAATATAGATTTTATAGAATTGGTCCAGGAATGTGATTAAACACACACTCACACCAGCAGCAATAACAGCAACAAACTATGGGAACAGGGGATCTGATTTTCGGAGGTGCCACATTACATGAAGAAATAGAGTATCGGTCAGGTAACTACAGAGATAAACATAAAACACGGTACAAATGAAATTTTGTAGGTTTTTTTTCTCTTATCTGATTTAAAAGACAACTATATAAAGCAATTAATATAAACCTGTATTGATGGTCTTATAATGTATAAAGATGTAATTTGTATAACAATAATATCACATAAGAGATGGGAGGGAATGGAGCTATATTAAAACAAAGTTTCTGTATATTATTGAAATTAAGCTAATATTAGTCTAAGGTAGATTACATTTTTTAGAAAGATTTTATTTATTTATTTGAGAGAGAACAAGAGAGAGCCCAGGCAGGCAGAGGGAGAAACAGGCTCCACACTGAGCAGAGAGCCCGATGCAGGGCTCAATCTCAGGACCCTGGGATCAGGACCTGAGCCAAAGGCAGACACTTAACCAACGGAGCCACCCAGGCACCCCTAAGCTAGATCACTTTAAATTAGGATGCTAGTTATCATACCCAAGGCAACCACTAAGAAAGTAACTTTAAGAAAAAAGAGGCACAGTGTGACCCTGGTGTCTGAGCAAGGGTGGAATAAGGGAAGCTGACCTTGCAGTTTCCTCTGTCCTCTTCCCTTGAAGCCAGCTTGAACTCCATCTCCTCTAATGGTCCAGTGAATGGGGGCTAGGCCAGGGAGCCCAGGAAAGCAGCAATGGAGCAGAGACCACAGAAGAGGTTGTAGGGCAGTGCGCATTCAGCTCCTGGGCATCCGCGTGTCCCAGCCCACCACAGATCCTCCAAGCACACAGCTCTGGCTCTTGCCCAGCACCAAGGACCTCTGCAGGGCTTTGACCCAGACGATAGTAGAGACCCGCCAGATGTGCTACACACACATGCAGGTGCCTGGTGAAATATTTAAAAATACAAAAAGGAATTTAAGTGGTACACTGGAAAGTATCTATTTAACACCATAGAAGGAAGTAATGGAGGAACAGAGGGATAAAAAAGGCATACAGAAAACAAACAACAAATGGCAGGTATAAATCCTACCTACAGTAGTACATTGAATGTAAATAATTAAATGCTCTGATCCAAATTGCAGAAACAGGTAGAATGGATTAATAAAAAAAAAAAAAGACCCATGGTCCAATTATATGCAGTTTATAAAAGACCCCTTAAATTTTAAAAAAAATAGGTTAAAAATAAAACGATAGAAAAAAAATGTAATACAACTAGTACCCAAAAAGAGCTGGAGAAGCTATACCAGTAAAAGACAAAACAGACTTTAAGGAAAACTTGCCACTAGATAGGAGAGACATTTTATAATGATGAAGGGATTGACTTAGCAGAAACAAATAATTATAAGCTATAAACATCTAACAATCTAGTTCCAAATATATGAAACTAAAATTGACACAATTGGAGGTAGAAACAGAAAATTCAACAAGAGTTGTAGAGTTCAATACTCTGCTTTCAAAAATTGATAGAAAAACTAGAAAGAAAATCAGCAAGAATATATACAGCTTAAAAAACATCATCAACCCATTTGACCTAACACCCATTAACAGCAGAATATAAATTCTTTTCAACCACACTTGGAACATTCTCCAGGATAGATCATATGTTAAGCCATGAAATAAGTTAATAATTAATTAACTAATTAATTAATTAAAAAGGATTTAAGTCATACAAATGGGGTTAAATTAGAAATCGAAAACAGAAAGAAGCTACAGTAATCAAGACTGTGTGGTACTGGCAAAAGAATAGACAAATAGATCAAAGAAGCAGAATGGAGTCCAGAAATAGACCCACACAAATATAATCAACTGAGATTTGACAAAGAAACAAGAGCAATTCAATAGAGAAAATAGAATCTTTTCCAAAAATAGGGTTGGAACAACTAGATATCCAAATGAAAAAAAAAAAAAAAAGAATCCAAACAGACTATACACCTTTCACAAAAATTAACTTAAGGAGAAAATATTTGCAAAACACACATCCAATAAGGAACTTGTATCTAAAATATACAAAGAACTGGGGTTGGGTGCCTGGGTGGCCCAGTCGTTAAGCGTCTGCCTTCGGCTCAGGTCATGATCTCAGGGTCTTGGGATCGAGCCCCGCATTGGGCTCTCTGCTCGGCGGAAAGCCTGCTTCTCCCTCTCCCATTCCCCCTGCTTGTGTTCCCTCTCTCACTGTGTCTCTCTCTGTCAAATAAATAAATAAAATCTTTAAAAATATACATATATACAAAGAACTCTTTAAACTCATCAATAAGAAAACAACCCAATTAAAAAATAAGAAAAAAACTGATCAGATATCAAATAAGATATACACATGGCAAATGAGCATATGAAAAGATGCTCCACATCATATGTGATTTGGGAATTGCAAATTAAAACAACACTGCATACCTCTTAGAATGGTGAAAATCCAGAGCACTGAAATACCAAATGCTGGTAAGGATATGTATGGGTCAAGAGGAACTCTCATTCACTGCTGGTGAGAATGCAAAAAAATGCTACAGCCCCATTGGAAGACAGTTTGACAGCTTGACAGTTTCTTAAAAAACGAAACATTAGCCTACCATATGATCCAATAATTGAATTCCTTGGTATTTACCCAAATGAGTTGAAATCTTACCTCCACACAAAAACCTATACACAAAAGTTTAGTCATAACTTACTATAACTTGGAAGTTACCAAAATATCCTTCAATAGGTGAAGGAATAAACAAACTGTAGTATATTAATACAGTGGAATATTATCTTGTGATTAAAAGAAATAAGACATGGAGAAGCCTTAAGTGAATATTACTAAGTGAAAGAAGCCTGCCTAAAAAGACTACATACCGCATGATTCCAACTATATGAGTGCTGAGAATTGAACTAAGTTACTCCATGGTATGGCTGCCTTAGCATCCATTTTGTTTGGCCAAGTGGCCTTCAGGGGCCTGAATTAGCCCCTCATGGAAGCACATGCCCCAGGTAACAGCATGTGGTGTTACAAGTCACAAGTAAATGCAAGTGCCTGAAACAGCTTCCCCAGTAGCCCTGGGGATAGTCCTGATAGAGTCTCCCTTGCCTGTCAGGGCCCTCCCCTTGTCTACCCCTGAGATGAGACACAATGTATCTTATCAAAACCCTGATGTTTTGGTGTGAATTGACCAATCTGACTATAATCTGGGAACCCCAAAGTACTCCACCTCTGGACCTTAATATAAGCATGTGCCCCAGAACCTGTCACTCTCCGCCTGTACTCTGCCTTGACCACTCCATGTGGCCCCTCAAGGTATGCTGTGCACTTCCTCCATGACCTATGAGTAATGCACTTCTCTATTTGAATTCCCTTTTGGTCTTTTGTTGAGCCAGGGCCCACCATTTGACACTCTGGGACTATTCTTAACAAATGTTAATTTTACAAAGTCACAACAAAGATCCTGGAAAAAACAAAATTACTGAGACAGTAAAAAGAAAAGTGTCTTCCAGGAATTTGGAAGGAGAAGGCTGTAGCATGGGATATGTTAGAAGAGTAAAACTATTTGTATGACACTCTAATGATAGATGTATTTGTAAAAACCTATAGGATATCTGAAACTAATGTAACATTGTATGTCAACTATACTTCAATTTAAAAAAAAAAACAGAGGGCATACAACACAAAGTGAACCCTAATATAAACTATGGGACTTAGTTAATAATAATGCATCAATATTGGCTCATCAAGTGTAACAAATGTATCACACTAATACAAGATGTTAATAACAGGGAAAACTGTGTAGGAAGGGTGAGGAGGTGACAGGTAGAGGAGATATGTGGGAACTGTACTTTCAGCTCAATTTTCTGTAAACCTAAAACTGCTCTAAAAAATAAACTGTATTTCTCTTCTCCTGCTGGGTTTAGGCTTTATTTGCTGTTCTTTCTCCAACTCCTTTAGGTGAGGGTTAGGTTGTGTATTTGACACCTTTCTTGTTTCTTGAGAAAGGCTTTTGCCTTTGCTATGCACTTTCCTCTTAGGACTGCCTTTGCTGCATCCCAAAGATTTTGAACGGTTATGTTTTCATTTTCATTTGTTTCCATGAATTTTTTAAATTCTTCTTTAATTTCCTGGTTGACCCTTCATTCTTTAGTAGGATGCTCTTTAGCTTCCATGTATTTGAGTTCTTTCTGACTTTCCTCTTGTGATTGAGGAGGAGAAGAGAAATAATAAAGATCAGAACAGAAATCAATGAAATAGAAACCAAAAGAACAGTAGAACGGATCAATGAAACTAGGAGCTGGTTCTTTGAAAGAATTAACAAGATTGATAAATCCCTGGCCAGACTTATCAAAAAGAAAAGAGAAAGGACCCAAATAAATAAAATCATGAATGAAAGAGGAGAGATCACAACAAACACCAAAGAAATACAAACAATTATAAGAACATATTATGAGCAACTATATGCCAGCAAATTAGATAATCTGAAAGAAAAGGATGCGTTCCTAGAGATGTATCAACTACCAAAACTGAACCAGGAAGAAATGGAAAACCTGAACAGACCTATAACCACTAAGGAAATTGGAGCAATAATCAAAAATCTCCCAACAAACAAAAGCCCAGGGCCAGATGGCTGCCTAGGGGAATTCTACCAAACATTTAAAGAAGAATTAATACCTATTCTTCTGAAACTGTTCCAAAAAATAGAAATGGAAGGAAAACTTTCAGACTCATTTCATGAGGCCACCATTAACTTGATCCCAAACTCAGACAAAGATCCCATCAAAAAGGAGAATTACAGACCAATATCCCTGATGAACATGGATGCAAAAATTCTCACCAAAATACTAGCCAATAGGATCCAACAGTACATTAAAAGGATTATTCACAACGACCAAGTGGGATTCATTCCTGGGCTGCAAGGTTGGTTCAACATTTGTAAATCAGTCAATGTGATACAATACATTAATAAAAGAAACAACAAGAACAATATGATCCTCTCAATAGATGCAGAAAAAGCATTTCACAAAGTACAGCATCCTTTCTTGATCAAAACTCTTCAGAGTATAGGGATAGAGGGTACATACCTCAATATCATAAAAGCCATCTATGAAAAACACACAGCAAATATCATTCTCAATGGGGAAAAAATGAGAGCTTTCCCCCTAAGGTCAGGAACATGGCAGGGATGTCCACTATCACCACTGCTATTCAACATAGTACTAGAAGTCCTAGCCACAGCAATCAGACAACAAAAAGAAATCAAAGGCATCCAAATCGGCAAAGAAGTCAAACTCTCACTCTCTGCAGATGATATGATACTTTACATGGAAAACCCAAAAGACTCCACCCCAAAACTGCTAGAACTCACACAGGAATTCAGTAAAGTGGCAGGATATAAAATCAATGCACAGAAATCAGTGGCATTCCTATACACCAACAACAAGACAGAAGAGAGAGAAATTAAGGAGTCGATCCCATTTACAATTGCACCCAAAACCATAAGATACCTAGGAATAAATCTAACCAAGCAGGCAAAGAATCTGTACTCAGAATACACTATAAAATACTCATGAAAGAAATTTAGGAAGACACAAAGAAATGGAAAAACGTTCCATGCACATGGATTGGAAGAACAAATATTGTGAAGATGTCAATGCTACCTAGAGCAATCTACACATTCAGAGCAATCCCTATCAAAATGCCATCCACTTTTTTCAAAGAAGTGGAACAAATAATCCTAAAATTTGTATGGAACCAGAAAAGACCCCGAATAGCCAGAGGAATGTTGAAAAAGAAAAGCAAAGCTGGTGGCATCACAATTGCGGACTTCAAGCTCTATTACAAAGCTGTCATCATCAAGACAGTATGGTACTGGCACAAAAACAGACACACAGATCAATGGAACAGAATAGAGAGCCCAGAAATGGACCCTCAAATCCATGGTCAACTCATCTTCGACAAAGCAAGAAAGAATGTCCAATGGAAAAAAGACAGTCTTTCCAACAAATGGTGTTGGGAAAATTGGACAGCCACATGCAGAAGAATGAAACTGGACCATTTCCTTACACCACACACAAAAATAGACTCCAAATGGTTGAAAGACCTAAACGTGAGACAGGAGTCCTTCAGAATCCTAAAGGAGAACACAGGTAGCAACCTCTTCGACCTCAGCCGCAGCAACTTCTTCCTAGAAACATCACCAAAGGTAAGGGAAGCAAGGGCAAAAATGAACTATTGGGACTTGATCCAGATAAAAACCTTTTGTACAGCAGAAGAAACAGTCCACAAAACCAAAAGACAACCGACAGAATGGGAGAAGATATTTGCAAGTATCATATCAGATAAAGGGCTAGTATCCAGAATCTATAAAGAACTTAACAAACTCAGCACCCAAAGAACAACTAATCCAATCAAGAAATGGGCAGAAGACACGAACAGACATTTTTCCAAAGAAGACATCCAAATGGCCAACAGACACATGAAAAAGTGTTCAACATCCCTCGGCATCAGGGAAATCCAAATCAAAACCTCAATGAGATACCACCTCACACCCGTCAGAATGGCTAAAATTAACAAGTCAGGAAACGACAGATGTTGGCGGGGATGCGGAGAAAGGGGAACCCTCCTACCCTGTTGGTGGGAATGCAAACTGGTGCAGCCACTCTGGAAAACAGTATGGAGGTTCCTCAAAAAGTTGAAAATAGAGCTACCTTATGACCCAGCAATTGCACTACTGGGTGTTTACCCCAAAGATACAAATGTAGGGATCCGAAGGGGTAGGTGCACCCCGATGTTTATAGCAGCAATGTCCACAATAGCCAAACTGTGGAAAGAGCCAAGATGGATGTCCATTGACAGATGAATGGATAAAGAAGATGTAGTGTACACACACACACACACACACACACACACACACACACACACACACACTGGAATATTATGCAGCCATCAAAAGGAATGTGATCTTGCCATTTGCAATGACGTGGATGGAACTGGAGGGTATTATGCTGAGCGAAATAAGTCAATCAGAGAAAGACATGTATCATATGATCTCACTGATATGAGGAACTCTTAATCTCAGGAAACAAACTGAGGGTTGCTGGAGTGGTGGGGGGTAGGAGGGATGGGGTGGCCGGGTGATAGACATTGGGGAGCGTATGTGCTATGGTGAGCACTGTGAATTTTGTAAAACTGTTGAATCACAGACCTGTACCTCTGAAACAAATAATACATTATATGTTAAAAAAAGAAGAAGAAGAAGAAGAAGATAGCAGGAGGGGAAAATGAAGGGGGGGAAATTGGAGGTGGAGACCAACCGTGAGAGACTATGGACTCTGGGAAACAAACTGAGGGTTCTAGAGGGGAGGGGGTGGGGGGATGGGTTAGCCTGGTGATGGGTATTAAAGAGGGCACGTATTGAATGGAGCACTGGGTGTTATATGCAAACAATGAATCATGGAACAGTACATCAAAAACTAATGATGTAATGTATGGTGATTAACATAACATAATAAAATAAA